TTTAAGGAAATATTATTTATCTACTAAAAGTACTAATCTTATAATTGCATGTATTCTTAATAATGAAATTTATTTTATACTTATTACATACCACACAAAGGATCAACAGTAAGAGTTTCAGTGTTCGAAACAAGTAACTCATGAACTGTTTTCCTACAATGACAGGTTTTCCTAAGGTTCTCCTCCATTGAATCAGAAGATGGAGATGATGGCCGACCAACAAAGCCACAAAAATATGAAGAAGAAGAAGAACTTCACACACTGATGAAGCCAGTACAGCCTGAAACAAGCAAATAGAAAATTAATCTTCAAAATCATAACCTCCAGATTGACTCCGCAAAATTTTTTTATAATTTTAATCATTTTGTTTCTTTTGTAGCACCGTTGATTTTCTTTATGTAAACACAAAACATATTAAAATGTTTTAACATTTTCAAGCAAATTATTAATATCACTTTCACCACGTAAGCAGGGAAGTCTACCTGTATCTCTTCCTAATAGTTTGTGGGAGATTTTTTGGGTCTTCCTTGAGCACAAACGTGCGGAGTCCCATGAGACCCTGCCTCAAGTACAGATCCCAATTTAGGTTACTGATGTTGAAGTCAAAAATCTTTCGGTCATCTTCACTGAGTTTGTTCCACATGTGATGCACATTCTGGTTGGAAAACTTCCATTGTCTTGTGCAGAAATATGAAATGACATCTGTAAACTTGTGCAGTTTCTTGTAGGTCTTCATGAACCTTGATCATAATTAAATACACATTAGTTGTTCTGCAGAATAAACATTCAAAGCTGGGTCTATAATTTCAGCATATTTATTTTAGTTCAACGCACCTGGGCTTTTGTCGCAAAATAAGCAGGGCAATGTCTCCTATTAGTGCTGGAAGAAGGTGAATCAGCAATGCATACAATTTGTACAAGGAGTGCACATGTACCTCGGTAAGAGTAACCATCCACACTGCGTTATCGAATGGTACCTGCCAGCTGTACTTAATGTTCTTGTTAATATAGTCACCCCAGCTTATCGGATTCTCACAAGAAGACACGTAGTTGTATACAGGAATAGCTCCAGTGCCAGATCTGCTGAAGATAAGCGAAAAGTTAGCCTGTGTAAAAATTATCATCTTGCAGGACAACTATCCCATGAAGGTATATGATGAGTGGTGTTGTATATTTATACATTCTTAATCTTGGTCCAAGATCGGGGTGAATTTCAAGGTCAGGTTTTATTCATTCATTTGGGAAATAATCTGCAGATACTGTTTGTTTATTATGGGTAGATATAAAGTTAACGTAGAAAATATGAAGAGAGAGAATCTGCAGCATCTGCTCGATGGTGGCACATCAAGAGGGTAGCATAAATTACTTTATTTCTCAAAACATTCTCAGCATTGAAAATCTATAACACAGTAGAATATTGCAAAAAGGCAAATCACTAGATTTTACAGTGATTTTATTTTTTCCAAAGCAGCAGGAACAGACACTCTTGAGCTGTTGGATGGACTCACTTGAAGGGAGAAATCACTGACTCTTGTATCTTATTCCATATTCATGAAAAATCAAAAATCACTGAAAGGTCTAATTATGAATGATTCTTGTGTCTTAATTATGATCAACAATTCACCTTCGCTGCTCATGGATATGCCAGGCAGAAGTAACGAGGGCATTAACTGCCATGTCACAGGGAACCATATCCCCCACCATTTTTCCTTTAAAGTGCATGGTGCGAATCATCCCGAGACCCACACACGCCACTGCTCCTGTCGGTCCATACAGGTTGTCAATCCACCCTGGCACAGGCTCACTCCTTGTACACAAGACTAAAAAGGAAAACATTGCTAGTCATTTGCAGAAACAAAACACAGTAAACATGTCTGCAAAATTTAGTTGGCTGTCTTCTGGAAAATTTCAGCAGATAGATGCTAGATTTTTACCAATGTTTCAGTGGAGATTAATGCCTCCATCACCAATGTCAGAAGCAATAAGCTCCTTTCAAATATCAGCCAGCACTACCAGAAAAATAGTCAAGTTACAAATCTAATGCTTACAAAATTTTTATTCCATCATAATTTCTGTTGCCATAGATCCTAATAATAATCACTGTACCTTGCATTCATTATATAACAAGAAGCTATAATTTGCAGTCTATAGTCAACTCACTGATGGAGGGTCTGAACACTCCGACAGGAAGATCCTTGCCGACAGTCCTCACTATATCTTCAGCTATTGCTTTGGTATAAGTGTATGTGTTCGGCCAGGCACCCAAAATCCTGCGAGAATAAAAACATGCTGCAAAAATTTATGATTTTATAACTTTGAACATATCTAGGAGGTTTAAAAATGTATGAAAAACCATTTATTAACTCAGATTAGAAATGTTGACAAAAATAATTCCTTTCAGACCGAGTACATTCCCTTTCACCAACTCATTATCAAAGAATTTGTGTTCATTTTGCAAATATTGTATTTCCTTTGAAGTACGAAATCAAGTCCTAAATATTATTTAGATTATGCTTTGTGTCGCTTTGTATCTGAAATCTTACCTTAACAAGCACGAAAAAGTTTAACATTTCATAATAAACATTAAATATTATACTACATAAACAAATATATTTAAAACCAACATTAAAGTCTATTTATTACACCATTGCAAGAAACTAGCCCTCACAACGCTATGAAAATACGTCCACTATTTAAATATTGAAAGTTCAGTAACAGAAAATTCTAGTTAGAACAAAAACAAATCTACAGGCAACTCACTTGGGAGTAATGGTGGTCAAAGTATTATCGTCCAGCTTTTCGACTAACTGAACAATCCTCTCGCCAGTGGTGGGCGGGTCGTAGAACTCTTCGTCGATGGATGTGCGGTGGCAGTGACTGAACGCGGTGGATACATGAACCACCACCTACAGAAAAATCCCACTACACGTAAGAATGAAAATTAGCTACAACTGATCTTCACAGAGCCATCACGAAACAAACATTCCCCCACACAAAAAAGATGCCTTACTGCATTATACGTTCTGTACTTTACCATCTATAGCTTATGCTTCTGGGAGCGTCTTTAATCCTTATTCCTTCTCCATCGTTCGAAAGTAATTTTTCTTCGGTATAAGACCTTCTAAGACTTCTTCAAGAGAGAGGAAGAAAGTACAATTGTTATACACATTTAGAGAAAATTTATCATGCCTTCTTTATAGACCGTCTCAAACACAGGCAGATGTACAGATTCAGGCAAAGGAAACTTAACTGGGGTCATTCAGGTTATCTACGTTCAAAGGTTCCGAGCTACATAATTGCACTGACCTTGATGTTGGGACAGTCCCGACATAGCAGTAGCAACTCTCGAGTGCCAACCACGTTGATGGCTGTAGCGATTTGCAGCTTCTCGTCGAATCGAACAGTGGCTGCCATGTGGAACACAATGTGCACATTATCCACAATGCGTTGTCTGTCGCAAGGACTCAAATCCAGACCCGGCTTTGAGCAGTCGCCTTCCACAGGAAGGATCTTCTCTCTGAAGCCAGGCTGTACTTCTCTCAACTTTTCAAACAGCTGCAATAATTCGGAGTTTCTTTTCTGTGTTTCTT